ATGAAATATGAAACGGTTTTTTCCAGGAAAGAGCAAAAAAGTTAGCGTTAGCGGTTTCATTAGTAATGTTATTCCTATCTAAAATAACTGATCGATTTTGCACGTAATGTAACCCTATACATTATCTTCCAACGATGCACGAGGGTGCCTTGAGATTTTCAATTGAATGCGTCACAGGACGTCCTTCTGGTCTTGGCGTACGTTCTCCCTCGCCTGTACCTATGTATATTCGACGGCAGGCAAATTTACTGACTCGTCCGCCGAGTCTAAAATATTTTTTAGAATTACGTGATCAGGATTCTCGCGAGCGTTCTTAACGCCTGTCGCCTGCTGGTAATAAGGCGAGTCTATTCAGAGAGAAATTTACATTTTTTCAACAATTGTTGTCCGATTATTGAACGTTGTCCCGTGAGAATCGCGACAGAAATTTCGCTGCAACCCGAACAAACATTGCTAACGGAAAATATTTTGTCCAAGGAGCCGTGTTCTACGCGGCCGGTAACGCCATCTAACGCAACCGCTACGAAATTTCCCGTTAATCAGAAAATTCGACGAAACTGGCCGACAACGATAGCTAGTGATCGATCTCGATTACTATGCTGCGTACGCGATCAGGAGTCTCCTGGATGCTGCGAACCGTGGCATTTGTTTTGCCAGCGCGTCGCGCGTATGGTATATTAGGATTAAAGTGGATCTCGCGTTATGCTTCGTTCGCTGGTATAAAGGGAATGCTACGGTATTAAAGCCCCGCGAAGTTACAGCGTCCCGTGTGCCGATATCTTCGATATTCGGTGTACACTGCTGGACAAAATGATAGGACGTTTCTCAGTCCCTTTACAGGCAATCGCATTGGGATCACATGCAAAAAATATCGCCCAGCTTACACGCGTCCGCAGCATAAAAATAGATATTGTCTTTGGCTATCTAAATTATTATACTGTAAATACAAACAAGCTCTATGTAACGGTAGTCCTTAAAATACGTATTATACGATATAAGATTCCCTCCTTTCAGTTTGTAACGTCAAGTTCGAATGTAACTGCCTGTTTGCTTCCATCAAATGAACATCTGCCGTCGCTTAACGCATCTTAGATCATCCTTTCTACGAATTAATTTATTTATATTTAGCACATTTTGTACTCATAAGTATGTATTCAAGCCATATCCTTTAGAGTACATAATAGCAACATATGTCATTGTGTCAGTATTCATTGTCAGTCTCTTAAAATCGCAATGATTGTTTTGTACGTAAAACTGAAATTTCATCTGGAATGGGAACGAACAAAAAATTTCATTCGTTGTTTTGACACTGGTGCGACTCTCAGTACAAATGTTTCCAATTCAATAAAATCAATTAAATGCACCGCGTACAACTCGCATAAAATTTAATACTTTAGACAACGATCATGCTACAAGCAAAGACCGGTTCTCGTCAGTTAGTAAGCCTCGTTTCAACATAGTTCAGTTTTTTTCGTGTACAAAAGTAGTGGTAGGCAGGACAAAAAGGAGGTGAAGGAAAAAAGTGCGGGGACAGCATGGATTGGCTTACATGCCACCTGTAGCACGAGGCGAAACGATTCGCCGCGATATCGCTTAAAGGTCGGAAAGGGATTCATCAATAAAGTTTACTATTTTTCCGATATCGTTTTTCCAATTCTATAAATCGTCGTACAGAGGAGGTTTGCGTACATACGGAGCGGCGCGGGGGTGGACGGGGCCGTGCACACGGCCAGAAGAGAAACCAGTTATGAATGGGCCACGTCGGTTGACGTTAATCTACCACTTCATCTCTCTCATCCAACTCCATGCTGCTGTACCGCGTGCCGCAGCAATCTCACCACTCTCCCATTTCCAGCCTCCACCCCCCGTCAACCCCATTTGTACAGGCCGAATCTAATAACTGGGCCGTGCTACACTCCTGTTCTAACAAGATGAACGTACAAAAAAATTTCTTCTACGTACACACATACATTTGCCGAATAATTAAATTTTTTGCGTACGAAATGAAGTCTAATCAGTATATAATTAAGTTATATTTTACGTACTTAATAAACATTAGAACTATTTTATAATAATCACATTTCTGATAATGTACAAGTATTACGACGTTTAACACCCTTATAAAAGTAATAATAATATAAATATTCTTTCTGTCT